GTTCTAATATTGTTTTTGTCTAAATTATTTTTGTAAGTATTTTTTATTAGGTACGCCTTTATTAGAAGAACACACGCTTAAAGTTTTTAAGTAATTTGGAACTTGTTAAAAAAAAAAAAATTAAAAAATTCAAACATAAAATTTGGTCTGACCATCAGATCTTCCTGTTAGCCCATTGGCTAACAGTAGCATCTTCATATATATATATATAATTCTTCCCAACACCTATTGGCGAAAATAAACAATGATTTCGCTTATCCTTGTCACCGTCATGATTGTCTAGCAGTGTTTTATTTTTTTTACAAATTGGAATGATATGAAATTGGGAGTACATGTACATCTTAGTGAGGCCAATCTAATATAAAAAAAATAATTCTCAAAAAAATAATTGATCAAAATACCCCTAAAACATTTCAGGGGTATTTTGGTCAATTTATTTCATGTAAAATATTGTTTTGATATTTTTTGTAGATTTTTGTATTTTTGATGGATACATACTTCAAATTTCAGATCATTTTGATTTATTGAAAAAAATAAAAAATAAAAATAAAACACTACCAAATAATCGTGAACGTGCGATGAATTTTGAACGGTGATGTAGGTAGGCGAAATCACTTTTTATTTTCATCGACAGCCATTTTATAGTATCCTCTATTTATTTATATATATATATATATATATATATATATATAGTTTTGTTTGGCTACGACACTTGGTCATGTATAGCCATAAAGTTGATCTAATTTTATTATCGGATAAAGTATATTGGGAGGGAGGATGGATGCCTTCTGGTGCATGATGGCTGGAAACCCTAGGGTTTCAACATACGGGCATAGATTACAAGCTTCTGCTATGGTTAACTCAAGATCTGGACGCTCTGGAGAAAGGGATAAAGCGGTCACGGTGCAAAACCTGGAAGACCGTGATGAACCAAATGCAAAATCTGATGGTAAGAATCAGGAAGTGATCGATTTGGATGTAATATGTGATGGGAAAAATCAGGTGATGGATCCTAAAAATGCCCGTGACGATTTGAATCCAAAATTTGATGGGAAAAATGAGAAGGTCGCCTATTCGAAAGCAAAATCAGATGGGCAAAATCAGGGGATTGATCCCAAAAAAGTCCGTGATGATTTGCAAGCTACTGAGAAGAGATCATACACACAAGCTTTGGGTAAGCTACTGAACATCGATGGTCTCCCAAACCCTATTCATGGCAGAAAAATTGTTAGGGTTAAGATTCCATGGAGAGCCTATGAAGAACAACTCGTGAAGCAGAAATTTGCGCTGATCGATAGACTGAAATTGAGGAATCTTGCCATAGAAAATTTGAAGAAATATGTCAGAGAAAACTGGAAATGGATTGATCGTGTTGCCCTAATTGAGTTGAGGAAAGGTTTCATATTATTCAGATTCAATTCTGAAGCAGACCTGACTTCAATATGGAGACGTGGCCCCTATCGAATTGAAGGCCAATTACTGAGCTTCCAAAGGTGGCAACCTGATTTTAATGTGAATCAGAACACTAGCCATGCTCTGCAATGGATCAGATTTCCGGACCTTCCACAATAGTATTGGAACTTCCACAATAGCATTGGCACGACGCGATTCTCCTTTCACTTGCAAAGGCAGCTGGTATGCCAATTGCAATTGATAAAAAAAACAAGAGATTCAACAATGGGGTACTTCACAAGAATTTGTGTCGATGTGGATCTATCGGCAGATAGGATGGAAGAAATTCTCATTGAGAGAGAACAAGTGGGTTCAAAAGAAATCTACCTATTCAAGCAGGTAATAGTCTATGAGAAACCTGCTGAAAGATGTGGATATTGTATAAAATATGGCCACATGATCGCTGTTTGCGCAAAAAAGAAGGATGATGAAGTAAAAAAAACCAAGATTATTGGGGATGAAATAAACAAGGATCTTGGTGTTCACAGCAATGTTCATGGGTTGCTGATGTGGCTACAAATTTCAACCAAGTTGATGTGAATCGTGCTGTTGTTGAGGAAAACTCTGTTGTAGCTGCGAACAATGAAAACAGAGTTGTTGGTGCCACTGTAGAAGGAAACTTGGCTGCAGTTGATGACATCGTAGAAAATGCTCACAATGTTGATTGTGATGTAGTTGAGGAAAATTCGTTTGCAGCTGTAAACAATGAAGCTTCTGGTATGAATAAGAAAAGAATTGCTGAGGATACTGCAGTACCCATGCTTTCAAGAGAGGACCACGCTGCTCTTGTTGATGTGGCTGCTGGAAAAAATTATGTTGCAACTGAAAACAATGAAGACAGACTTGTTGAGGTTACGACAATACCCATGGCTGCAAGACAGCATCACGCTCCTCTTGTTAAGGAGCAGCAAACAAAGGAAGTGGCAGAGGGATTGACCTCACGCTCCTCTTGTTGAGGAGCAGCAAACAAAGGAAGTGGCAGAGGGATTGACCTCTGCCGATGTGGCTGCTGGAAAAATGAATCACGGTGATGTCCTGGACTCACCAATTCCTCGGTTTTTGCAGATGTAAAATAAGGACAATTGTCCTCTCCCAGAGACACAATTCGATGTGTTGAGCCCAAATTTTGGGAAGACTGCAGTCGTCTTACATGCAGAAGTTGACATGGTAGATGAAGCAATGATGCAGTTGGAAGGCGAGGTTATTCCTGTCAAATCAAAAAAGGCCAAAGCTACTACTGTTAGCCATGCTCGCAAGTCCACAAGACTTGGAACAGGTAACCAAACTTTTGCTTAATGAAGTTACTTTACCGGAATATTCGAGGAATGAACAGGGTCAAAGCTCGAAATGCTTTGAAGTTTCATATCAAAGAGCATCAATCGGAAATGGTTTGCATTGCGGAACCTTTGGTTCATCCAAGTTTTAATGTCCTCTGATTTTCTTTTCAGCTTTAGGATACTGCTCTGATTTCTTACATAATGAGAGAGCTGATAAGCATCCAAATCTTTGGTTATTTTGGAAGAATTATATTCCAAAACCAATGATACTAGGAATGTCTGACCAGCAGATTACGATTAATATGGGTGTCTTTGGTAATAATGTGCAACTTTCCGTTGTTCATTCTAGTACTATCCGAGTAAATCGTAGAAATCTTTGGATGGAACTTATTTCTATGACAACAACTTCTCCTTTGGTTGTTACTGGAGATTTTAATGCCACTCTCTTCTCCCATGAAAAGAGAGGCTCTGGTCCATTCAATATGGGATCTGCTAACGATTTTTTAGCCATGATTGATTCATGTTCACTAATAGGCCTACACTCTATTGGTAGCAAATTCACTTGGTGCAATAATAGAAGGCATGGGAATGTGATGGCAGTTCTTGATAGAGGGCTTTGTAATGATGCTTGGTTTAATTTTTTCCATGATTGTACTGAAAAGGTTCTACCAAGGGTTGCATCTGATCATGCACCTATTTTGATTAAATCTGACGAAATCCAAAGACCTAACAACATACCTTTTCGTATGCAAAGGTTTTGGACAAATCATAAGGATTTTTCAGAGGTGGTTTCACAAACTTGGAGTACTCCTGTTAATGGTACACCCATTTTTATCGTTGCCAAGAAACTTAAAAGGTTGAAGGCTGATCTAAAAATTTGGGCCAAATCAACTTTTCCTCAACGTAATAAACTAGTGAAGTCCATCACCGTTGAACTTCGCGATATACAAGAAACTATTGAGAATGTGGGATCAAATGATTTTCTTTTGGATCAAGAGCTTGAAGCAAAAGCCAAACTTCATAATGCTCTTGGAATTCAAGAAAAATTGTGGGCCAAAAAATCCAGGATTAAGTGGTTAAAATGTGGGGACAGGAACACCAAATTCTTTCACTTGACGACTAAAATCCGTCAAGCAAAGAATTTTATGAGAGATTAAAAAGCAGGATGGTTCTATAATTTCAGACCCAAAGGAAATTGGAAATTATATTACTGAGTTCTATTAAAATTTTCACAAAAAACAGGTACCCTTGAAATGGACTTATTTGCTAGACTGTATTCCACATCTTATTGATCAGAATGATAATAACATGCTCACACAATTCCTTCTGAAGAAGAAATAAAGTTGTTGTTTTTATATGGATTCTCACTGTTCCCCTGGACCTGATGGTTTTTCACGAACTTTTTATCAGAAATGTTGGGATATTGTTGGTTCTGATATCTGCAGGGCAATCAGGAACTTCTTCCAGGAAGGAATTATTATGAAAGGCTTTAATAACAACTTCATTACTTTAATTCCCAAAGTGGAGGGTGCTAAATCTCTAGATTTGATCAGACCAAAATGTATGGAAACTTCTTCTTCAAAATCATACCAAAAATTATGGCTTCAAGACTTGTATCCTTACTTACCAAATTGATATCTGAGGAGCAAGGGGCTTTCCAAAAGGATAAAGTTATTTTCTCAAATATTTCCCTTGCATCTGAATTGGCCAATGTAATTCCTATTAAGTCTCGTGGTGGGTCTATGGGAATTAAAATTGATATACAAAAGGCTTATGATTCCCTGGAATGGGAATTTCTTTCTGATGTATTGGAAAAGTTTGGTTTTTGTGATAAGTGGATTCAGACAAATTTACTTTCGGCCAATATTTCTGTGCTTGTGAATGGTGGTCCATATGGGTTTTCAAAGCTGAAAGAGGGCTTTGCCAAGGTGACCCTTTAGCACCGTTACTCTTCATCATTGCAGAAGACGTTCTATGTAGGGGTATCTTTGATCTAAGAGAAAGGGAAAAATTAAAGCTCTTCTAGGACCAAGGAATTCCAAGGTACCTACACATCTCCTTTTTGCTGATGATGTTTTTATTTTTATGAATGCAGATATCAGACATGTAAAAAAGATGAAGAGCTTTCTTGTTGATTAGCAAAAGTATTCTGGCCAGGTGATACATCAGGGAAAGAGTAAGATTTTCTTTGGAAGAATTTCAGGCACAAGGAAAAATGAGATATCTAGAATTTTGGAATTTACTGAATGCTGCTTACCAACAAATTATCTTTGTGTCAATATCTTCAAGGGCCTGGTTAAAAAAGAGCATATCTTGGGAATGGTGGACAAATTAAAAGCCAGAATTTCAAGCTGGAAAGGTAAACTACTCTCTATAGCAGGTAGAGTGCAACTAATCAAGTCGGTGGTGACTAGTTTACCAATTCACAACTTTTCTATTTATTGGTGGCTGTCCTCTATGATTGCTCTTATGGAAAGATGGATAAGAAATTTTATTTGGTTTGGGGACCTTGACAACTCAAAATTGATTACTGTCAAATGGGACCAAATTTGTAAGCTAAAAGTCGAAGGGGGGCTTGGTGTGCGTAAATTGAGGGATATTAACAAATCCCTTCTTGCCAAGTTATGCTGGTCAATTAAACATGAAGACACAATGTTTAGCAGCTTTATGAAAGCTAAATATCTAAGGCAAGATGGCCCTTTAAAAAAGTCCTATTCCTCTTCTATCTGGTCTGGCATTCTAAATGTTTGGGACTTGGTTACGAATAATGAGCACTGGATTATTGGTGATAGCTCCCAGATTAATTTTTGGAAGGACAAGTGGATGGGGGAAATTACCATAGCAGAAGCTTTAGGTCTCAAGCCTTCGGTGTTTCGAAAATTTAATACAAGGATATCCAATTTCATCTCGGGTATGCAATGGTCTCTTCCTCCTATTTCTTTTTCATTTTTGAATGATTTATTCTCACAAATTCTTCACATTCAATTGCCCACCATTGATGTTTCTGATGTTTGTATTTGGAAACCTATGTTGTCTGGGTTATTTTCCTCTAGTTCTGCATGGGAAACTTTTTGGGAGAAAAGAAACCAGGTTTCTTGGTATTCAAATGTTTGGCAACCACATTTACAGCCAAGACACTTGGTCTTTGGCTGGAGGCTTATGCAAAAGTTACCCACTGATGATTCCTTTACTTCCAAAGGAATTCCTTTAGCCTCTCAATGTTCGCTATGTTTCTAGAGTTGTGAATCTAGCTATCATATATTTTTTGATTGTTATTTTCACTTGATCTATGGAGATGGTTCTTGGAGATATTTGGTCTGCATGTGTGGCCGAATGTTATAAATTTGCAGGAACTATCTCAATGGTGGAACAATAAGACAGACACTTACCCTTTCCACAAATTTGGAGAGAGGGCTATTTACTTATTCAATACCACATATGGGAGGAGAGGAACTCGAGACGATTTAATCAAAAGAGGACATCCCGTGTGGTCATCACAAGTATCAAAAAGACATTATGGAAGCTACGAGAGGGATGAAGAACTTATCACCCAAAAGTCCTTTAGATTTCTAAATCTTAAGGACCTTTGATATCCCCGTCGGGTAGTCAAAGCCAAAAATCCACGTGGAGATCATATAGAGGAAGCCTACCGAAGGATGGTTCACGCTTAATGTTGATGAATGTGCACTGGGCAATCCGGGTCATTCTGGGGCGGGTGGTGTCTTCAGGAATTCAATGGGCATACCAAGTAGGACTTATTCATCTTATCTGGGTAATACAACAAATTTCTTTGCAGAATTTTCTGCTCAGCTCTAAGATATCGAGATTGCAAAGGAGAAAGGTGTGGAAAGACTTTGGATAGAATATGACTTAATAGCTGTTATTGAAGTAATTAATGGCATAAAAATCCTATGGAAATTCTTGCAAAAATGGCTTATCCTTTGGACTTACTTGGATGCTATACTTTGGAAGATAACACATATCTTTAGGGAAGGAAACAATGTGGTTGACCTACTAGCTAAGAAAGCTGCATATTCTCGATTGACTAATTTCTGGGACAATCCATCTGATTATGTTCGGACTAAGATCACTTGGGATCTCATTGAGTACAAAAGATATCTATTCATTACTTAGACTGTTAACACTGTTGATGACATTGTCGAAGGTGGTGTTCTCAGCTATTTCTTGTATTATTGTATTTCTGTTTGGGAATGCCTAGACATTAAATTTTGTATCCATCTATTTATTAATCATATTGCTTACCTTTAGCAAAATAAAAAGTGTATACCCATAAAGTCTTCAATATTTTTTGACATATAGATACTTTATAGTAACTTTTTGTATAGGGGTATTTTAAGTAATTAGTCAAGGGTAAAGTAGAAATTCCTAATGGAAACAAAAGCTTTTTTTTTACAATAGTAGATAATGATATCACCGACATGGTGTGTGACATCACCCACAAGATGCATGAATAATCTTTTCACTGCTAATAGAAAACCACTATTTTTAAAGAATTATCTATCTATCCTTTTAAATAACAAAAAATACCCTTACTTCAAGTGTATTTAAGTATCTAAAAATGTTGACTTTAAGGGTATA